TTAGACATTTTATTGCGGTACCATTGTGGTTACTATATATTTTCATGTAGAATTTTTATTTAGTTTTTATTTCGGTTGGACTTTTTATAGTATTATAAAAAGTAATATTTTCGCTTCATTTTGCTCTAGGTACAAACTCGTAGTGCTGATGAACCGATGACAACATTTGTTGTCTGTAATGAATGTGGAAATCGATGGAAGGTATGGTGCCTTCTTGAATTCATATTTTATTCACTTACAATAGAGTAATTTCTTCAGGTCTTTTTATAAACCTACCTAGATATCTAAATGCCATATATACATATATAATGTTCACACTGGTCAGTACTATGGGAATCCACGACTAAAATGTTTGTAATGGAATATACCACTTTGTACCCTGTTGGAAATAAAGAATGCTAACTTTCCTACCTTCATATTGTTTTGGTGCAGGAATAACAGGATTGAATCTTAAATGTGTGATTACTGTATCACAATCCTGTATATACTATATTCATTCAATTGCTTTGACGTTTTTACTTTCAGAAAATCTGTACATATGTATTACTTAATAGATTTTAATTCTGGAAAAATTATTTTGTTGAAATCTAGTCCAATAGTTTTAGTATTTATTTTAGGAATTACAGATGAGCACTGTCATGGTTTAGTAGGTTTTTCACTAAGCCTTTATATAATGCCTGCATACTCTTAAATTTGCCCCACACAGGTGAGTTTTTGTTACGTAAATGATTCATTCTTGAGTGATTTTTGTGAACCACAGAAATATAATTTAAAATTGGGAGGAGAATTACACATCAGTCCTAAGCCCATTCGTATTGATCTGAGGATGTTAGGAGTGTGGCCTTGGAGAGGCTAACATAGCAGGAATATAGTCTTTGGAGCCAAATAGGTTTAGAACTGCTTTGCCGCTTACCCTTACCGAACTGTAATTTCTCATGTATTAAATGTAAATAATATCTAAATTACAGATTGCGGTGAGGAGTAGAGATAATATATTTAAAATGCCTGATAATTGCTGGTGTTCTAAAAATGCTGGCTTTTTTTACTAGTTTTTGTGAAGTTTGTATAAGATTTTTTTTTAGTTACAGTTACATAGACTTTTTAGCCTAACATTTATTTTGAATTATTCACGTAGGTTAAAGCATTTTCTGACAAGTGAATTAAAAGCCAAACAATGGGGGCATATCCTCCACAAATATGGTATGGGACTTTAGCCCTAGACACTCTTTTAGGGGTGCCCAGTACCCATTTTATTATATACAAAGATTTAGTTCTGAGCTGGGAAGGCTACTGGCATTGAGAGTGTGTTCGCGGTTTGAAAACGGTGTCTCCTGCCCTGAGTTGGCAGAAGTTTTGCATTGATCTAAGAGAGGGACAGTCACATTTTTTCCAGTCCTGTTGAGTTAGTCTGGCTTTTCCAGATGGCCCTCTTGGATTTGTTTTGCATAATGGATTATTATTATAATTATTATTATTATTATTGGGTATATTGCAGCTTGTTTGGATTACAGGCAGCTTGCAGCATAAGTACCTATTGGATTTAAGAAAGTTCAATTTAATGTGGAAAGCTGATGCCTAGGGGCTTACTGTAGAAATTTCAAGTTTGGAATTTTTTTAACCTGAAAACATTGAGAGGTTCTATTATTTAAATTTTTTTGAACTAAATGTATCGGTATAACATTGTAATAACATGATATAAGTTTCAGGTGNGAGAGGTAATTTCTTAAATATAAGAATGTTTTCTTAATACTAACAGATTCCAGTTAATTGAAAATAAGTTGATATATTTATACTTTCATGGAAATTGTTACCGTGAAAGCTATATCAGTTAAATGAAGTTTATAAAATATTACAGAGTTTAATAAAATGGCCATGTTCTTTCTGTAAGAGTTAATAAGCATGTGATTATCCATTAGTATTCACTCGTATATAAATGCTTTTTGTTTGGCAGGCTCTTACAATTTAAGAAAAGTTCTTTGCTCTCCCTCACATGGAATGTGGGTACTTTTAGCTTAACTGGTTTCCAGATATTTATGTTTTTTGCCACATGATGATGACTTTTATATTCATATATGATTTGGCTAATCTTCCTTTTTATTTTTAAACAGCTGAAAAGAGACATGTTACAGTTATTTTCATTGTATGTGCATATGTGAAAATGGTGTTTTATGACTGTCATTCATTTTACTTGTCCAGTAGGTTTTTGTGCTGGATCTGTAATCTGCTAAATCAAAATTTTACCCTAAAAGAATAACTTATTATGTTTCAGGTTAATAGAGTTAGGAAGTTCAATTTTCTGCTTGATAGAAAATTAAGCACTTATAAAAATAACATTGCCAAACTCTGTGTAAGTTATAGGAAGGGATCCTTTCTTTTTTTTAAAAAAAGTAGTATATTCTCAAGGTTAAAAATCCAAAAGGTAAAAAAGATTATGAGTGGAAAGCTCTCCCCCACTTTTGTTTGCAGCTACCTGGTTTCCCCTCTCTGGAGGTAAATTAGGATGATTAGTTTGTTTTGTGGCTTTCTACATGTTTTATGTATATACATGCAAACATGAATATGTTTTTGTTTTTCCATTTTTCTAAACACGTGGTAGCATATTATAATATTTTTAAAGGTGCAGAACACTCCATTTTCAGGTATACTTTTTTAACCAATCTAAATGAAGTGTTTCATTTAGTCATAGTTGTATATCTAATATTTCATTAG